TTAACAAATCCCTCCTAGATCAATGCGTCCGAAACGGAATTGCCCTCTCCAGCTGCTCTCAAAAAGAAAATCATTCTTAAGCACAAAAAGCTTCCAATCGAAAGCGAGGATTTGGCTACTTTTGTGAGCGCAAGTACTGACGAATGTGAGTTTGGAATTGGCTGCTTTGTTTGAAAGTAACAAATCGTAACAAATGACTACTTACACGAATGTAAAGCAAATTCCTCTATTTCAGTCCAGGACACAGATATATTGGCGAGAGAATGCATCAAGAAAGGTGTGTTATCGCTTATGGATAGCGTTAGACATGTACGTTTGTATCATTGCAAATTTTTCTGGATGGATTTCTAGTTATCTTTCCAGGAATGGTCATCCCACGTCTTTGTGCTCTTCCCAGATCGTCTTTGTTATCTTCTGCAAACTTGCGATGATACTTCGATGAAGGACGACACTATAAGTATGATAGGCGATGACGATAGAGAAGTAACGCTTCTGCTCCTTATAATTGCTGAATCTGTTAAAAATATGTAGAAGCTGTTCTAGGACGAAGGATTGGCAGGTTTTGGCGTACGCCCCGAAGAGCAACACATCACTGAAGAGTGGTTTCATGGGCATTGCGAACGAGATGTAAGCTTGAATTCTACATACCCATCCGTTTTACTACTCCTCTATTCTTTCAGGAAGCTAAAGAGCGTATTTTACAACATAAAGACAAGGGCAACGGCCTATTTATGGTTCGAGACTCAAACCTCTTTATCGGCGACTACTCTCTCACTATACTGCATGATGGAAAGGTTCATCATGTGCGAATAAAGACCAGAATCATTGATAGTGAGTAGATCTAATTTTCCAATAAAAGGATAAGAGCTTGAAAAGTTTTTTTTTTCAGAAGAAAAGAAGTACTACTTCATGGACAATAAGGTCTGCGATACGTTGTACGAGCTTGTTTCTTACTACACACGACACTATCTGACCACTCCAACATTCAAAATGGTCCTTACAACGCCATGTCCACAGCCCCAACCACATTTGGATCAGCCGTAAGTTTAGATCGTTGCAGGGCCTATGTTTTAGAAAAATTTCGAATTAATTGCCTGAAAATTACAAGTAATAAGAAGTGAAAGTTTTACCTTTTAGTTGGTTTTCTGCAACAGCTGATAAGGAGAAAGCTGAAGCTTTGCTGAGTCAGGTTCCGGAAGATGGTGCATTCCTTCTGCGCTACTCGAGTAGTGACAAGAGTGTCTTTGTACTTTCGATAAGGTTTGTACCGAGTACAGCTTCCAATTCTCTGGAATTATCCAAAATCTTATTACAGAGTAGATGGCGAAATCTGGCACTACCGCTTGAAAAGAGATGGACGCATTTTTGTAGTGAATCAAACGGTATTTGAAAATCTCAATCAGATTGTCGAATACTACCGCTCGCGAGAATTTGTTCGAGGAATCTCACTTAGGTTTCCGGTATGTTTTAATCCTACTTGGAGGACTTGCCTCTTATCATCAGATCAGTGCAATTTTTTCCAATGAGTAGCTGTTTCAGGTAAACGAGAACGAAATCACAACAATCCCAGCGCACATAGAGATAGCTCGCGGAAGTTATCAAGAGCTATCGCAGCTTGAGGAAAAGGTGCGATATTTACAGTTTTTCCTAACTGCTACTGCCACCCGCAACTCACCTAAAGTTGAGATTTTGGGCTACCAGCAAACATTTTTTAACAACCATTTTAAATGATAACTCACGAACATCAAATAGGCTATAAACCTTGTGTCGTTAATTAT